ATCGGTCCCGCGGTGTGGGTGGTGGTGTGTTTCTGTGTGCAGGTGCCCCGCCATGGCAGCCCCGTCTACTGCTCTATCTGCAGGGTACTTAGTCAGACCTGGGGTGGGGGTGCTGTCAGACTGGAGTGGGTCCCACCTGACTCTCTCTCTCGGGGTGCCTGGGAAGGAGTGGTATGGGTGAGTAGTGCTGATCATGGCCCAGGCCTGGCTTTGGAGCGGTGTCCCAGGACTGAGGGTGGAGCTCAGCTGCTGGGTCTCTGGGCTTGGGGCCACGGGTGGGTGGGGTATGCCGGGCTGGACAGAGCCCAGGTGTCCAGGGAGACACCGGAGACCACCCAGCTGGCTTGGGCCTGAGGAGCAGAACTCCTCCAGCCCCCACTTACTGACCGCTGGGAAGCAGGGCTGGAGCCAGGCTGCTTTCTGGGGCTTCATGCTGTCTGGAACAAACCTCTGTCTGGGGATTATTTTTATTTAAATTGTATTTATTTCTTCTGTGAGAGAGACAGAGACAGGGACAGACAGATGGGCATTCCCAGCAGGGTCCTCACACTGTACCCACCTGCACTCTTTGCCTGCCCGACTCATGGGTATGAGCATGTGCCAGGTGTGCTCTGGGGGCCCTGGGGTGCAAGCCAGGATCTCCCTGCGTGGTCTGGTCATGTCACTGCTGTGCCTCTGCCAGGCTCCGTGGAGATCAGTACTGAGGCCGCACAGGGCACTTCAGTCCGGTGTGTTGGCTCTGTGCCTCTAGCCAGGAGAGTGGAGTGGGCTAGGAGTCAGGGAGGCTTCCTAGAGGGGGAGGTACTGGAGGTAGGCCCGGGGAACAGACTAGAACGTCCACAGGTGGAGAGAGGTCGAGGAATGGCCTGGGCACAACCCTGGAGGTGGGGGTGGGAGCCTGAGGGTTTTAGTCAGGGAGCGGAGAGCCGGGGCTGGCGACTGGAGTGAGCTCAGCCTGGCGGGACATCCTTTTGGAAGACTGGGTGACCAGCCATTCTTGCCCTCTCCAAAGAGGTACCTCGGCACGACTCGACAAAGCCCCTGGACAAGCACTACTCCGTGGTCCTGCCGACTGTGAGCCACAGCGGCTTCCTCTACAAGACGGCTTCTGCGGGCAAGCTGCTGCAGGACCGCCGGGCCCGGGAAGGTGGGTGTCTGCAGGCCCACCCTGCCCATGGCATCTGGCCTGGCTGTAGGGCCAAGGAAGCCAGGGCTGGCCAGGCTAGTGGGCCCAGGAGGGTGCCATGTGGACTTGGCAGTCGCCTGGGCTATGATTCCTGGACAGGGCCTCTGGCACACAGTAGGCGCTTAATAAATGGACTGTTCAGGGTGGAGGACACTACAGGGCATGTCACTGCCAAAGCTTCCTTTGTTGGGCCCTACTGAACTGGGCCCTGTGCTAGGCATCTGGTATTTGGGGGTGCTTAGGGAGTGGGATGGCAGGGTGTTTGAGGACCTCCCAGTTACCCCAAGTCCGAGTCCAATCCGCCGTCCTGGCCATGTCTCACGAGAACTTGTGCGGTCAGCGCCCCCTCCCACTCCCTCTCTGATCCCTGTCCCTCGCTCACTCAGCTCCCGCTCCACAGGCGGCCTTGCTGCCTCTCAGACTTGCCAGACTCATTCCCACAAGACCTTGCTGTCCCCTCTGCCCTGAATGGTCTCCCCACATATTGGTGTCATTGGTCCCTTCTGTCAGGCCTCTGTTTAAATGTCACTTCTGCAGAGACATCACCCTCACGCACCTTGGCCACAACAGCACATCCTGTTTCTCCCTGCACCCCGTTTTCTTCATCCCACTTACAGACATCGGTCTGCATGCACTCTTTCCATCTTCTCCACCCCTGGAATGTGAGCTCCACTAGGGCACGGGGTTGCCCCCAGCACCCAGGACAGGAGCTAACACACTGTGGGCTCCGGAAAATGACCGCACAGTGAAGGGGACCGAGGTAGAGCTGGGATCCCAACCTCAGGGACAGGCTCAGGGACACAGGCCCTTGGAGACAGGATGAGAGGGTGTTGGCTGTGCTTACGGCATCCCTCGGCCCCCCTCCTGGAATGCCCGTGTTCCTAGAGAGGTTTCTCGGGAGCCGCGAGCTGTTCTCAACCTCACTGCCCCAGTCTACCTGATGATGGCGTTTATGTAACCGCCTGAGTCATCCTTTTGGCCCTGGGTGCCAGGAAGCTCTGAGCCACTGTGGAGCTCAGTGCTGTGAACTACAAGACCGCACAGCCCTGCACTGTTCTTCCCACTACTTCCCTGGTCGAGGTTCCCATTCCGTCTCCTTTATGGGATCTTGTCAGTCTCCTCAGGGCCATTGTAGGGAAGCACAATGCAGAGTGGGGGTGCTTCTGGCGGAGGAGGGTGCGGCACAGGGATGGGCATGAAAGCTGCCCCAGGTGGAGGGAATGGGGTGCCAGATCAAGGGGTGTAGACTGCCCTGAGAACCTGTGGGGCCATGGGTGGTTTGGGGCAGAGGAATACTGGGGTCCAATTTTAACTCCATTACTCTTGGGTCTCGGCAAGGCCGGGCAGGAGACCAGTAGCGCGGTGAAGAGGCCGCTGCAGAGGGTTGGGGCGAGGAGGAGGTGCAGGCTAGACTGGGGCAGTGGCTGTAGAGAGAACAGACTTGGAGGGACTTGTGAGTTCCAACAGAGAGGACATGGGGGGCACAGGGAGGGTGCAGAGGCGGTTTGCATGTGGCTGGGATGGGCTCCCTCACGGCTCCCCTACCTTCTCTCCAGAGTTCAGCCGACGCTGGTGTGTCCTTAGCGACGGGGTCCTGAGCTACTACGAGAATGAGCGGGCGGTGACCCCCAATGGGGAGATTCGGGCCAGCGAGATTGTGTGCCTGGCAGTGCTCCCTCCTGACACCCATGGGTGAGCACCCCTGTGCAGAACCGCAGGCTGTATTGCTGTAAGGTCTAACCCCCTCGGGCAGACAGAGGAACAGACCCAGGGAAGCCCAAGACCTCCCCAGGGCCACACAACAAATGGGGTTGTGCACAGGTTGGCCTAGGGCTCCTGAGACCCAGCCCAAGGCCACTCCACCCTCTTAGGGGCTGGGGAAGAGCGATCGTGAGGGCAGCGTGGAGGGAGCAGAGTGGCAACTGGGGGGCCTGAGTCCCGGCCTGTGTGGTTACAGCTTTGAGCACACCTTCGAGGTGTACACGGAAGGAGAACGGCTATACCTGTTTGGACTGGAGAGTGCCGAACTGGCTCACGAGTGGGTCAAGTGCATCGCGAAGGTGGGCCTGGCGACCTGGGGGTTGTGGGCAGAGCGGGACTCTTATCCCAGCCCCCCTCTGGGATGGAGCAGGGGCTGCCGGAAGGCACCAGGTCTGGGGCAGGCTTCTCAGGCTGAGGGAGTCTGGAGTAATCTGCACCCTTGGGTGCCTGGGGGGCAGTCAGGAGACCTGCTTCGGCCCTGCGGAAGAAGGGCCGTGGGCCCTGCACTCCATAGGTGCTCACTAAGTGAATAATCATGAAACCCGGTCAGAGCCCTCTCCCCCTGGTGGGGTGAGCTCCTTGTCCCTGGAGGTGTGTGAGCAGAGGCTGGAGGGAACAGGCAGGGAGACTATAGGAGAACTCTGCCTTGGGGACTGGAGCCAGGTATCCTCTGAGGTCCCCTATTTTTATCGTCCTCTTGTTCTTTGCTCGGTTAGCTGTGAGTCGTGAGGATCAGCCCTCAGGCTCCTGGGGACCAGGTGAGGCAGTTTTGGGCCTGCTCTTCAGTAGCTCCTGTGTGGGGAGATGGGGGGAGGGTGGGGTCCAGGCAGCAATGACAGCATGGCCACTGGTGCAGCAGGAAGGGTGCTTCGGCGCTGTGGGTGCCGAGAAGTGGTGTGCCTCATGGTGTCTGGGCGTGAAGGAGGGCATGGCAGCCAGGTGGGTCAGGCCGGGCTCAGCCCTGGGGGAGACGCGGCAGCTGGGAAGGAAGAGGGCACTTGTCCACGCCAGGATCCAGGTGTCCGGCAGGCAGCTTGGAGCTGCCGGCTGATGCGGTCTCCCCTGGCCGCCTCCCCCACCAGGCGTTCGTGCCTCCCCTGGCCGAGGACCTGTTGGCCCGGGACTTTGCGCGGCTGGGGCGCCTCCCCTACAAAGCTGGCCTGAGCCTGCAGCGGGCCCAGGAGGGCTGGTTCTCCCTCACCGGCTCGGAGCTCCGCGCTGTCTTCCCAGAGGGACCCTGCGAAGAGCCACTACAGCTGCGGAAACTGCAGGAGCTTTGTGCGTGGGCCCGCGCCTGGGTCCCCAGCCTCCAAGGCACCCTGTCCTGGGCTCCCAGACTCCCCTTGCCTGGGAGCCTCAACTCTTTCCTGGCCTGTCCCGGGAGCCAGTTTGCCCTCTCGTGTCCTCTCCTGTCCCCACTGGTTGGTGGGTGGGTCCCAGGGGCGTGTGTTCGCAGGGAGCCCAGGAGGGAGCAGGCAGGGGAAGCAGGACTGGGCCTGGGCCTCACCTGCCTGGCCCCTCCGCAGCCATCCAGGGAGACAGCGAGAACCAAGTGCTGGTGCTGGTGGAGCGAAGGAGGTGAGCCCGGCCCCCTGGAGGGGACCCTTCCAGGCCTGGGAAGGGGCGGGGCAGGGGCAGGCCAGTCAGTGACTGCCTGGCCCTGGCCCAGGACGCTGTACATCCAGGGGGAGCGGCGGCTGGACTTCACAGGTTGGCTGGCGGCCATCCAGAAAGCAGCAGCCAGCTTGGGGGACACGCTGTCGGAGCAGCAGCTTGGGGACTCCGACATCCCGGTGATTGTGTACCGCTGTGTGGACTACATCACGCAGTGTGGTGAGCCCTGCCCCTAGGACACGGCTGCCCTCCCGACCCCCAGGCCCAGCCGCCAGGCCCTCAGGCCCAATCCCTCTGAAAGGAGCTGTGTCCCCGCCCTGTGACGCAGGGCCTTTGGCCTGACGCTGGTGCCACCCCCCCCCCAGGCCTGACCTCCGAGGGCATCTACCGCAAGTGTGGGCAGACGTCGAAGACGCAGCGGCTGGAGCCTGCGGCAGGACGCCCGCTCCGTGCGCCTCAAGGAGAGCGAGCAGCACGTGGACGACGTCTCCTCGGCGCTCAAGCGCTTTCTGCGTGACTTGCCCGACGGGCTCTTCACTCGTGCCCAGCGCCTGGCCTGGCTGGAGGCCTCAGGTGGGCTCCGCAGCCCCTGCCCAGCCTTGTCCACTACTATGTCAGGATCCCCTCCCTTCCCCACCACGCACCTGGACTAGGCAGGCCCTGCTGCCAGGCTCCTGGCCTTCCTCTGCTTGTTCCATTGTCCCTCAGTACAGGGCCAGGGTCCCTTGAAGACAGCAAACCCTCACCCTTGCTGAGTGCCTGGTCTGCTTAGTCATGGGGACACAGGGCGTGCTGTCACCCAGCAGAGAGGCACAGCAGCCAGAGGGTGGGACAGGGAGGTGGTTCTAGGGGGGTTTCTCACTGGATCTGTGTCCCCCACCCAGAGATCGACAATGAGGAGGAGAAGGTCTCTAGGTACCAAGAGCTCCTGGCGTGCCTGCCCCCTGTCAACCGGGCCACTGTGAAGGCCCTCATCAGTCATCTGTACTGGTGAGTGGCGGGCGATGCCACTGCGAGGCTCTGGGGGACTGGGTGGAGAAGCATCGTCTGCTCTGAGCTCGCTGGCTTCCCGCTCTGGCAACCAGGTGGGCTTGGGAACCAAGTATAGCCTCTGATCAGCCCCTGTCTTGGACGTCCCACAGGGTGGGAAAGAAGAGGATTTTTCAGGGCTGGGTCAGGGTACCTTGGCCAATGTCTCAGATTCCTAGCCCTACTTGCCAGCATCCCAGACATGGCAGAAAGACCTCCCGTCCCCCCTTAGTGGTCTGCCCTGACTGGGACCTTCCCAGGCCTCACTCTAGTGTCCAGTCTTGGACCTGTCAGGAATTGGGAAGGTGGGCGGGAGGTGCCAGGCTGGCCCTTCACTCAAGGCTGGATCTCTCCTCTTCTCCAGTGTCCAGTGCTTCTCAGACACGAACCAGATGAACACGCACAACCTGGCGATTGTGTTTGGGCCCACGCT